TGAAGCTGCTCGAGTAAATCGCATTTCGGTGCTCTGCCTGTATATTGCTTTAAGAAACTTGTTCATACGGCCATAGCGGGGCTCGTCGTACTTTGTTTAAAAAGCTCACAAAGCTTAGCGACTGGTCGTATTATTATTTTCAATAAGTCCAGATTGGTTTAGATAAGTTACAGTCTATAATACTGCTCACATATCTAGTATGTTGAGGCTCTCACAACATTTTTCATGCTTGATGCTTTCAATGGAAGGCAGTTCGACTAATCGGTGACACTTCCTTAACAGGCGGCTTCAAGCTCCTCCTATATCCGTGGACGGTCGGCGATTTTCAAAATTTCAAAAGCTTTTTCGTCACTGGTATAATACTAGTCTTTTTTAAACATTTCCTAGCAGTACCTTACAGGTTACAGACGGGCCAAGAAATCCCACATATCATATAACATCTAAAAGCATAATATTTCATTTCCGAATTTTTTGTCGCCAGTAAAAACATTTTTGTCGTTCAGTTCTGTCCCAGACCTTTGTTCTTCACGAACCTGGGACACAAATCTTGCCTCTCTGTTTTTCGTGAGCTGTTGGTAAGCCATAATACTAACTTCGATAGCAAATATCTGAAAATTTCTGTGTGCTACCTCTATACAGCGCTTCCTAAAAATGTCACCCCTCACGGATAGCAAACTGAAATTCGAAATGGCGGCCTGCTAAACTGGAGTGTTTTTGTATAGTGAATTATCTTATACTTCCAATCATCAAAATGTAATGGTATGTTATATCGATATTCTACATTTGGGAGTATCTTTATAAAGGGTATATCAATAAGAATGCAATATTTGAAATTAGCGCCATTTTAGCAGTCATAATGATATGTGACATGACAGATCGATAGTAGACAGACGGGAGTTCATGAAAATGAATCATTTCACAATGGAACAGCGTATCCTAATTGTTAAAAATTATTGCCAAAGTGGTGAAAGTTTAATTGCCACGATTCGAAATGTGCAGGTACTATTCGGTCGGAATAATGTTCCTATCCCATCAACTGTGAAAAGGATAATCCAAAAATTTTAAAGTACTGGTTCTGTTGACGATGTGAAACACACGAGACGAGCTCGCAGCGGTCGTTCGGAAGAAAACGTCAGAGTAGCTCGCGAAAATGTAGCCGGGAGTCCAGGGACGTCGGTTCGTCATCGCGCTCAAGAATTGGACATTAAAACAGCCACTCTCTAACGAAAGATTTACACCTGCATGCCTACAAAGTCCAATTGACTCAATAGCTTATGCCAACAGACCATGCACAGTGAAAATAGTTTAGCAATTGGATCCTTGACCAACAGTATGTCAATGGTGATTTTGTAGACAAAATCATTTTAAGCGATGAGGCCCATTTTCATCTTGATGTCTTCGTCAATAGACAAAACTGCCGCATTTGGGGCACATAGTAATTCATGAGAAAGCTAGGCATCCAAAACGTGTCACTGTTTGGTGTGCACTATGGTCTGGAAGAACTATTGGACCGTTTTTCTTTGAGGACGAGGCGGATAATCAACTGCCAATGAATGACGAACGTTATCTTGCAACGATTACTCAGTTTTTTGTGCCACAATCAGAAGTCGCGGCTCTCAATGGCATATGGTTTCAGCAGGATGGTGCCACATGCCATACAGCTTATGAGGCATTCGCAGTTTTGCACGAGTTTGCTCCTGGTCGAGTCATGTCCCGGTTTGGTGACCAGAATTTGCCGCCACGCTTTTGCGACTTAACACATTTGCACTTTTGGCTTTGGGGTTATATGAAGTCACAAGCTTATGTCAACAAGCCTGCAACCATCGAAGCATCGAAAGCTGAAATCAGACGCTGTATCAACGAGGTTCCAGGTTTCATACATAACTCCAAAGTGTGTACATCATAATCCAATAAATATTTCAGGTGTTTATTACAAAATACCATGTTTAATAGAACCTTGAGATATTGCGTCCTTATTGAAACACCCTTAATGTTCAATATCTTACTCGGAGGTCCTCCCAAAAAGAGATCGATACTATAATATTTTCAAACGCTCAACTTTGACAGCCTGCCATTGTGCTATTTTTCATATTTCAGGGTTATAAAGCACTTCTGACTAGCTTCAAAATCTCCCACATAACCCCCATCCTAGTTGCACCAAGATGGTGCCCGAACGCTATCTTGAAAATTTCAAGTATCACTTTTATGCAGATTGTCAGTTTCAACACTCTGAACTTCGACTAAATTAGGAGGTCGACCTTGAAAAGCACTATATATTTTTGCGGTTCGCAATGCCAAAAACCAGCATGATATAAAAGTTAGGCACAGGGTAATGTCGCAGCGCAATGGCAGTCGGTCTTTCTGAACGCTGGCCAAGCAGATTGAAAAGAACTTCTCACACAGTAGCCTTCCACCACTTACGTGTCAGGATGGAACTATTGTATTCGACTCAAAGGTCAAGGCGAAAGTGCTAGCCAAGATCTTTGCTGCCAACTCCACCATGGACGTCCCCACCAACGCCCAAGTGCCGTCAATTCAAAGGGTTCCCCACACTATGCGGGAAGTAACATTCAGGCATAAGACCGTAAGACGAGTGCTCTTGTCGCTCGACATCAACAAAGCTTCTGGTCCGGACTTGATTCCTGCCATTGTATTGAAGAGATGTGCAGCGGAGCTTGCTCCAGTTCTTTCGCGTCTCTTCCAGATATCTTATGAATCCGGCACCTTCCCAGAAAACTGTAAATTTGCTCATGTACAGCCCATCCCAAAAAAGGATCTAAAACCGACCCTTACAACTACAGGCCTATAGCTCTGCTTTCTGTTATAAGTAAAGTGATGGAGAGGTGCATAAATCGCGAGCTTCTGGACTACCTCGAACGTCACAGCTTGATTAGCGACAGGCAGTACGGTTTCCGGCACCAACGATCCACAGGGGACCTCCTAGCTTACGTCACGCAACTGTGGAGTAAACTCATCCAGTCTCATGGTGAGGCTCATGTCGTTGCTCTTGACATCACGAAAGCGTTTGATCAGCTGTGGCACGCTGCCCTCTTAAGCAAACTTCCATCCTACGGCCTCCCAGAAAAGCTTTGCAGATGGGTGGCTGACTTTATCTCTGGCCGCAAGATATCCGTCGTAATTGACGGATTCTCCTCTTCATCCCACAACGTCAACGCGGGTGTTCCCCAGGGATCGGTCTTGGCTCCAACACTGTTTCTCTTACATATCAACGACCTCCTTTCCTGCACGATCAACCCAATCCACAGCTTCGCTGATGACAGCACTCTACATGCAGGAATTCAGAGTGACAAGCCGATCTCTGCCGCTGAGCTGGAAAAAAGAAGACTAGCGACGACTTCTTCTCTGACAAGAGACCTGGAGGCTATCACTGCTTGGGGACGCAACAATCTTGTACAGTTCAATGCTTCCAAAACACAGTACTGTACCTTGACGAACAAAAAGCGTCCTAGCGCTCATACAGTTTCGATGGACGGTCGAGTTCTACCAAAGAGCCATTCATTTCGGCTGGTCGGAGTCCAGATCACCGAGGACCTGATCTGGCACGAACACATATCTTCAATAGCTGCAGCTGCTGGGAAAAAGCTAGGCTATTTGTTTAGGGCTAAGAAGTACTTTTCTCCGCATGACCTTCTCACTCTATACAACGCCCAGATAAGGCCTAGCCTCGAGTATTGCTCACACATTTGGGGTGCTGCCGCCCCGACTACATTGTCCATGCTCGATGCTGTCCAGAGGAGGGCGGTCCGACTGATCGATGACTCTTCTCTAACAGACAGTCTCGGGACTCTTTCGCACCGGCGGGCCGTCGGCGATCTAGCTCTTTTCTATCGCTACACCAACGGGCTTTGCTCCTCAGAGCTCTCTTCCATGATGCCGCCGCGCGATGCGCCTGCCAGACAGACCCGCCTGACTTCGGCATCCCATCCTAACCGTGTCAAACTTCGTACATCCAGAACTGCCCGATACGACCGCTCCTTTGTCCCGAGGGTGTCTAGATTGTGGAACAATCTACGGGAGGAAGCTTTTCCCAGTTCTACTAACCTTAGGCAGTTCAAAAATCGTATTAACAAAATTTCTTTGGAATCATCATAGCAGCCGCGGTGTTCCGGCATTTAGGCTTCTGCCTGCGCGGCTGTTTCGATATAAAAAAAAAGGAGGTCGACCTTGAAAAGCACTATATATTTTTGCTGAAGCGTGATAGGTGTTTGAAACATGTGTAGAAGGAAGTATTTCAATGAAGTCGTTAAGAGCTGCATTAATGATACTATCAGCAAAATAACATCTTTATAAATATTACGGACTTTAACGTATATAACAATAGTGAATTCTACTTTAATGGTATGGTACAAAGCTACTAAGAATGCAACGGCTTAATAATAATCGCAAATGAGGTCACCAGGAGCCTATTGTTTAACTAATTGATGCAAAATCTATTAATTTATTATATAAAATTATCGTTATTTGCTGATATAGCACGGATAAAGACAATTCAATAGCAGTAATGACTGCCTATCCATCAACATCTAACATACTGTCACTTTCAGTAACACGAACGGACTGAAATCATTAATTTCCTCAGAACATGATTTGTATTGAGTCTGACACACTGTAATTAAAAACAATTTAACTGCGTTGTTCACGAAGTGTTTGAGAACACGCTCAACTTTTTCCGAACCAACTTAAATCTGTATGGCGACTAATGCAGTGAAATTATTTTTCTTTCGTAATGCCAAAGACTAGCACGAAGTAGAGTTTGGATGCAGTGATCGGTTTAAACATTTCAAGCAGTTTGTAGGAAGAGCAAGTGGCCTAGGGGGAATGTATTTTAAGTTTTGCATATAAAAACATAGTAGGCCGCGCGGATCGAACGTCAGTACTGAATCTTAACCTAACTCTTTAGTAAACTTAAATTCAAGGTTTCACAATAATATGTGTTCTCACTACAGTGAATTTTTAAGTGTCACCAAGTCATGAGAAAAATGGAACTCAACCGAGAACATTTTCGCGCCATAATTTATTACAACTTTCAGAGACAATTATCGCAACAAGAATGCCTTGCTGAGTTACTGTCTGTTTTCGGCAACGAAGCGCCACTTCAGTCGACAATTTCCTGTTGTTTTGGAGAATTCAAACGTGGACGGGTGAGTCTTAGCGACGATTCCAGGATGGGTGCACCAAAAACGGCAGTCACCCAGGAAAACGTCGATGCTGTGCGCAAACTCATCATGTGACACATCGCGAGATTGAGGCGTCCTTGAAGATCTCAAAGACCTCAATTCAAAAAATTTTATATGAAGAATTAGGAGTAAGAAAATTAGTTTTTCATTGGATACCCCACCTGTTGACTGAAGAGCAGAAAGCAGCCAGGGTTACTTGGTGTCAAAAAACGCTTGACCGTTTCAATTCCGGAAACTCAAAAAATGTGTTCAGCATTGTTAGTGGTGATGAATCGTGGATTTACTGTTATGAACCAGAAAATAAACGACAGTCGGATGTTTGGGTGTTCCAAGGTGAAGAGTAGCCAACAAAAGTCATCCGTTCTCGAAGTGCTTCGAAAAAGATGGTCGCGATATTTGTGTCAAAAGCGAGTCATATTGCAACAATTCCTCCTAGTGAGCAAAGAACTGTCACCGCGGATTGGTATACCACAATTTGTTTGCCAAAAGTCATCACCGAGCTTCGAAAAATCAACCCTGAAAGAAGAATCATCCCCCACCAAGACAATGCAAGCTCGCACACAGCCCAAAAAAGAGGGCAGTATTTAACGGAAGAAAACGTGGAATTATTGGAGCATCCTCCATATAGTCCCGATCTAGGTCCTAATGATTTCTTTACTTTCCCGAAAATTAAAAACAGACTGCGTGGTCAAAGGTTCCAGTTACCACAAGAAGCAGTTGACGCATTCAAAAATGCCGTTTTGGATCTGCCAGCAGACGAGTGGAATAAGTGCTTCGAAAATTGGTTCGAGCACATGCAGATGTGTATTAATCTTCGTGGAGAATACTTCGAAAAACAATAAAGTTATTTAAAATTACATACCGTGTTGTTTTATTTCCATATGCAAAACTTAAAAGACCGTATTAAGGATGTTGCCAATTCTTCCAGTTAAAAAGGGGAAGGTGTATTTGACATTCAGAAAATAGGATACAGGGTGTTCGAAAAATAGATGGAAATATTTTAGAAGGTGATTTCTTGTTTAAAATTATGAAAAAAGTTTCTATAAACATGGGTCAGGAAATGAGTTTTCAATACAGAATGATAAATTTAAAAAAAAAAAATTTCTATAAATATCTTAAAAAATAATTACTCTATGCTATTGAAATTTGGCAACAATATTTGCTGTATCAAGAGACTAATTTAGCCATTAATAGATTAAAATTATTAGGTCCAGTGGCATCCCGGGAGGCACATTAGCAAAATCTCTAGGAAAGAGTGTTATTGCAACTTTTCCAATTGGTACCATGGTATAAAGTACACTACAACAAGATAATAAAAAAGCAATTCAATTTATCATCATGTACCTTGGAAATTTTGCATTTCAGTACCAATTTTTATAGAAGCTTTTTTTAAAACTTCTAAATAAGGAATCATCCGCTAAAATATCTCCGTTTATTTTTTGAACACCCTGTATATCTCAAATCCCAATATAACCTATACGTTTAAAGTTGATGAGCCGGAACACCACGTAGAGAAAGCATGGGAGGTCAGAGGGCATTTCATGCAACATAACGGTGTAACATTTGAGTTACATACCAGTCTTGGTTTTATACGTATCATAAAGACCTTCATAGCAGGTGGCCATTAGTCTAATAAAGAACCAACTATCATTCAGATACACCGATTTAGAAAATGTTAACTGACCTAGGAAACAATTCATTCCCATCTTTTGCCGACTTTAATTGCAAGCTACGAGATATAAAACTTTTATGTCGAGAAATCATCACAGTTTACGATTTTTCCTTTCCATTCAAGGCACATAAACTTTTATATTTCACGCTTGAATCTTCAATATCTTAAGAGTTAATTACAAAGAATCCTACTGATTTTATGGCTTCTAGAAGCAACGCAAAATGTTGCATTCCGGATCTGATTCTTTACTTAGGTGTGCGAAAAATTCGTGGTTCATTCGAATCATAGATAATTGTCCATCTGTGGCATGACAATATATTAGCTCTCTATTGTAAATTTGAATATCTGTCCAGTCTGCCACACAATTATGTACAAGCATGGTTTTATGCGCGAACTCTTAGTCGCTTTTGCAACCAAAATCTGCAGCGTCAGCGTCAAGCCGGCAACAGCGCGGCCTGCCATCGTCTCACTCGACCTGTGACCATCACACGATGCAATGTTTTATTTTGCACTAGCTGTTACCCGCGACTTCGTAGGCTGGGAACTCTTATTAACATAACGCTTTGTTTTTAAGCGATGCTATAAACGTCTGATCACGTTTTATGTTTTTGATGTCATTAGTAAATTGACAAGCAACTTGCATGTTTGGGAAATGTGGTTACATTATCGGTGGCGACACGTTCCGCGGGTAAAACCTCGGGGCAGAAAACTTGCTATTAAATACCTAAATCAAACCATGATGTAGCGATCTTTTCTCTATTTTGCTTCAAAATTGTATGAACACATACCCAAAGACTTAAAGCAATTTCGAAATACACATAGTTTTAAAAAGAAATTATCAGAATGAACACGCGCAGCAGGTAGACAACACGTCATTGAATTCCTATCAAATATTCCTTAAAAATTATCATCCTCTACATATACGCCTCTTTGGTATAAGTTTTTCTTTAAGCTTCTTTTAATTTGTTTGTTTTGATTTTGGATCACATTCCAACATACGACTAATCCATGTACAGCCATTGTCCTTCTATGGATGGAAACATTTATTTACCCATTTTATGTTGTTATTGTTCTTGTATAATGGAATAAATACTAAACAGGAAAAAGGTCATTTTTGATATAGCACCAAAAAGTATTGTTATGGTAATATTTTCAAAGCATACAATTTTTGCATGGCATGTATATGTCCCTCATGTCATCCTTTGTGTCTGTCTGTAAATGTTGCATCCTTGGCATCAGTGAAATATGGGCTGATAAGTAGCTCCTGATCCCGGCAATGCTATGTACCTGTTAGATATGATACACACATTTCCCATACATTTTCCATTGAAAGAGAAATTTTCTGTAGTATGCGATGTAGAGATGTTCACGATGTCATACTTAAATGAAGAAGCCTAGTCAATGCAACATCAGAAACTTATCCTGTAGTCTTCATATATTTTGGATATTAAATGAAATTACTTATGTAGGCTTGAGTTTTGAAAAACGTCTTGGTCACCTTAGCGGCTGTTTTCAAAGTACAGTTCAAAAAAGTGTTAATTACATAAGATGATCTGACATTCCGGCTCTCAAAGCGACAAACGAGCATGGGGCTATCTGTAGTTTTGGATGACCAGACAAAACAAATAAGCGCCCTTCAAAGTGCAGAAGGCACAGGGTAACGTCGCGGTACAATGGTATGAACTTTTTCTGGGCGCTGGGCAAGCAGATTAAATGGAATTTCTTAAAGAATAGCCTTCCGTCGCTTGCGTGCCAGGATGGAATGATTCTGGTACGGACTTCCTTCTGATGAGATGTGTACCGGAGCTTGCCCTATTTCTCTCAGAAAACTGAAAATTTGTTCATGTTCAGCCCGTTAAAAGAAAAAAAGAATCTAAGACTGACCCTTACAGCTACAGACCTACAGCTCTGCTTTCTGTTATAGGTAACGAGACGAAGACGCGCATTTGCTGGAGAGAAGAAGACTACCAAACCACACATTGGTCGCGCCGTCGTCATCTAACGACTTGAGGTCGGATCATCGACATCGACAGCAATAGTTCTTTAAACTTATACCGCACGGATGGGGTACGAAACAGCGCTGTTTGCTTTTCGGTCATGGTTACAGGAGATAGCAAGCAAACATGTCAATTTCAGCAGTGTCTATTTATGCACATATGCTTACATAAGCCATAGGTGCTTTGCTTCGCGAATATCTAGTATCCCTACCACTTGATGATGGTGAGTGTTCACTCAGCTTTGGCGAACCATTGATAGGTGGCGATTGTCAGATGTTTCGCCTACTTGCTCACACTATCCTCATACCGAAAGTAACACATTTGTGGCAGGTTATGAATAGAAAAATTTCCCTGTTAAGGACCCTTTACCAAAACTACATTTGAACTTTAGGATTATCGAGGTATTAGGTGTTAGACGATATATACTGCTTACTCTATCTTCAAGTATTCGGTATACACGACTCTGTTGTATCTCAGTTCTTCAACTCATCCATCGATTACGACCCTGAGAATAACAAATTACCTTTAATTCTCAGCGGCCAACCATCTGTTTCCATCTGTTAGTCAGCTTGATTCGCTCTCTCAGGATGATAGTGAACAAGAATGCACATTAAAGTTCAGAGCATCTCCATAATCCCGATTGCTGCATGGTGCGATCCTAATAAACCTGCCACCGGGCGCTGCGTGAATCAGTGGTGTAACTAAGAGACATCTAAATATATGGTAACTACATCCACACGTTATTTTATTTATTTTTATTATCCGTTATGGCAGTTAATTTTTCATTGAGAGGGTGAAAACTACCCCCACCCCTATATAAAGTATAACAGAATTTTTTGGCAACTTTACCGATGACTGATTTTTTTATTTTGCAACCCTTCTTAATAAACCTCATTTTTTGTCTCTTAAAATATTTTATTAATTAATAGTGAGATTCTTTTATAAAAAGTATATACAATATATAAAATATGACCACATATCAATGCGGCGCAAAAATTGTAGAAAACTTTCACTATGATGTCATTATTCCTTAATGTATTTGCAGCATTTTGCATCCAGTCCAATAGTTGATCGGCCTTGTCTACCAGAACCTCGTATACCTTTGTTATTAATGCTCCACATATAAAAAATCGCAAGTGTTAAGATACAGGGAACGAGGTGGAAATTGAATAGGAGCTTCTTGACGTCTACTAATCCACTACCATCAAATTTCTCGATCAAGTAATTTCTTATAGCACGCGCAAAGTGAGGTGGAGCGCCATCATGCATGAAAAACACGCCACCTTCGCCAACTACAAGCCCACGACATTTTAACAATTGATTCAATAAGAAAAAAATTTAGAAACCAGCCTGCCTACTGACATCTCATAGGGATTTGTCCCTGCAGCCAAGGTAACGTCCTAGTCTAGATCTGTCGCAAGCTATCACAATCCAGCTGTCGAGAATTGATCAATGCGATGTGTAGAAAATCTTTTCCCAGTTCTACTGACCTCTGTTTAAAAACCGTACCAATACGTTTTATTCAATTCCTTATTAAAGTTAATCTACGCATTCGCCTGGCAACCAAGTAAATTTTGATGATATAGTCCTACTAAGGCTAAGAAGGTCCAAGAGACACAACTCTTTATTTTCCCCAATAAACATGGAATCGTACTCCACTGAAGTACAACAATCTTATCCACCTGATTTTACGACGGTCACTAGCCTGACAAGCAAAATTATTAATATTTACATATCATTTACAAATATTTATACTTTTGTTATAATTTCATTAACAGTTTATTGGTATAAGTTATTGCTATTAAGCTTTTATCATTCGTTGCTGTTTAATTTACGATTACGTTTATCGACCGTATAGCAACAGCGATCGTGGACCGAAGAACAGATATTCGAAATTGTGTACCATAAATTCCCCCCTTGTGCTGTTAATGGTGATACAGATCATATGAAAACTTTTAATGGCTAGAAACTAGCGACTTTATAGTCGTTATGGTCGTATCTCGATGGTACCACAGCGGTCGTACGGAGATATGTACCCTAAGAGAAAATAAAACGTTGTTTATTGCATTACAGACGTTTGATGCCGGAGGCAATTGTGATAGCACCTCTATGCCAGTCATTTACATGTTCGGTGTCTTGTAGATGCTACTGCTATTATACGTTACTGGTTTAGCATTCAGATTGACTGGGAGACCAACCTACATATATGGATGCAAAGCTATGCACTACAAAGTCTTACCAACATAGAAT